TTTTGCTTCACAATCAAATATTTCATTTTTCTATTTAGTACACTTCCAACTCTAATTCCTATTAATCCTCACCCGTTAACAGATTATTATTCTCTACCAATAATTTTGAACTTGTAAAAACACTAAATTTACATTGACATATTTATAAAGTTAAGACCCAAACTAGATGGTTGATCTCGAGTTATAATTAGGGAGAATTTCAATTATACCACTTTGGTGGTACCACTTTTCATGTTTACCATCAATAAATGAACATTTTCAAAAATACACATTTTATTAAAAGATAAAAGACTCTTATATCTTTGTTCTTTATATATATACATAAAATAAATATTAAATAAAATATTAACCCTAAACCCTAAAACATCAATTCTAAACTCTATACCCTAAAACGTAAATCCTAAACCCTAAAAGTCAACCCTAAACCCTAAAATATCAATTCTAAACCTTAAACCCTAAACTCTAAACCCTAAAAAGTAAACCCTAAACCCTACAAAATCAACACTAAACCCTAAACTATCAATCCTAAACCCAAAACTCTAAACCTTAGATTCTAATAGTATTTTGACTATTAAAATTTTAATGGTATAGTTGGTTAGTGTAAAGTTAAAAAGTGGTATCCTCAAAGTGTTATTTCTGGCAATTTCCCTTATAATTATTGTCGTTCACCATTTATAGACCATCATTAACCGTATAAAGTGTTTTTGCATTTAGCTGGAAAACTCTTACGCTCTGGAATATAAAAGACTAGTATAATATTAAGATGGTATAATTAAATACAAATAGATGAGGACAGGAACACAACTATGGTATATATAAGAATATAAATATGAAATTGGTCCCAAGTTTCAAGCTGTGTACCAAAGGACCATCTTCCAGCTTTTAAAGGAATCTCATCTTTTAGCTAGCTAAAGCTTACACTTAAGCCTTTATCTACGTATATGGTCCTTCAGAATTATACAATAAAAGATCAAAACAAATATCCAAAAAGTTATACAATAATATTCGATTCATAAAACTATTAAATACACTGATTATTCGTGTATGGATCGGATACAATAATTATATGTACGAAAATGTATATGGTTATTTCACAAATTGAGAAGATTAAATAGATAGTCTATATTGAGGTCGGAAATCCTCTTGTTATATACTAAAAGGTTTTATTATAACGAACTAGGGCCGGTCCGGATTATGCTCAGCTTTTTTATAAATATTAATTATATATGTTGTATGTTATTTTGATATATAAATATTATAGTCTATTATAATATATAAGTAGTTAGACAATTATATAATTATTTTTAATTATTATTGTTTTTTAATTATCAGTATATGTTTTGCGTAGAAATGTTGTGTATTGTGGCTCGTCTCAACTTTTGTTTCTTTATTTGTTGTGTGTTATTATTTTATTTTCATTTTTTTGTAAAATATTCTTTGGTTATTTATTATTCATTGTTTACTGTCTGAATTTTTTTTTATAATTATTCTAAATTTGATCTTATTTATCTAAAATGGAAAATAAAATTAGTGTGTGGAATATTTTTTTCCTTCGGTTTGATGAAACGTAAAGGAAAACAATATGATAATAGATTTTTCGTTGTTCTAAACTTATAGACTTTTTTATTTATTTTGAATATATTTAAGTATTCTATAACTTTTACTTAACTATTGAATCTTTATTAAAATTTTCATTAAACACAGGAAAAAAATTTCATTAAACTCAAGTTATATTACATAGCATAATTAACTTTTAATTAGTCTATTTTTATATTTTATTAGTTATTGATTTTTAAATTATTTTCATTATTTATTAATTGTTAATTGTTTTTATATCATTTTGTATTCTAAGTTAACCTTAAATTTGGTAGTAAAAAGGGAACTAAAAATCTGTGAGATTCAGTATTTTATTTTCGTTGGTATAAATCTAATGAAATGTATAAAGATTAATAGCATAAATTGATTTATCCTCTTTCTCAAGAATTTTATTTATTATAATTATAAATTTATTTTTTAATTAATTATATATTTTCACTAAATAATTAATTTTCTTATAATTATAATAATTTTATTTATTATAATTATAAATTTATTTGTTTTAGTTATATTATATTTTTCACTAAATGATTATTTTTTAACAAAAAGCTTAATTTCATTTTTTTGGTTTCTTTCAAAATAAAATATTAGTTATAATAATTTAGAAGTTATTAAATTGTTTGAAAGTTTGGTGGTTGTATTTAGGGTTCATTTCAGGTTTGTTTGGGATATGTTACACGGATCAGTGTGATATAGTTGTGTACTTTTGCAAGTTCTATTATCGAGCCTATTGTATTATGTGCTAACTTTTCTCCACCTTATTCTTAAAAACTATCGATCAAGTAGAAAGATATTTACTCATATTTAGTTTTTTTATTACTGTTTCAATTGAGATAAACGCACAGTTATCGTTGTGCTAGATATAGTGAACATACCAATATTTTCTCATTTTTCTTCTCTTTTCCATTTTATTTTTTTCTGATTCCATTTAATCAGAAAAATCCGTGAGATTTTAGCATCCACTGAAGTAGTGTTATGAGGTGAAAGATTCTGAGGCAGGATGGTGTTAAGCTAATGACTTATTATTTTGTCAGGTTATACACCTGATATTCAGATTTATTTTATCTTCATCTTGTGTGTATTCGTTTCAAGATAATGATTGTTATTTAGTATTTACTTTGTCTATAATAAAATGAATGACATATTCACTTAAACATTTCACCATCTCTATCAAAATTTGATGTCCGTTTATATTTTGGACATTTTTATTTTTATCTAGTGACGTCAAACATATTTTACAATATTATATTATTTTAGTATTATAATATTTTATGTTTTGTTTGTTTTTTCGTAAAAGCACATAGTTATTTTTATGTGTCTGATTATTTTTTATACGGAGTAATTGATATAAGTTTGGTGTGTATAAAATATCATTTTTAACAACAAAATACAATATAATTTACCTGGAAATCTGGGGTTTTTGCAAAACCAACCTAAAATTTCATGTCAAACACAAAACCAACCTCTTTTTTTTTGTCATTACTATTCACTCTTAAAAAACCTAAACTCTCCTCATGTTTCCACCTATTTACCAAAATGCCATTATTTTTAAATCTGATTTTATTTTCAAAAATTATAAAAAACCTATTACACCCTAAATATTTCTCCTTATTTACCATAATGCCATTGTCATCAATATTTGCAACCACCCAAAACCACCATTGATGAGCTCTTTAAGCTTGTGTTTATGAAATTTCAACCACTTATTTCACTTTCTAAACAAACAATACTTCATTTCCTCTCATTTCCTCTCTATTTTCATCTAAAC